GCTCCCCGCTGAGCAGGGAGCCCGATGTGGGACTCGATCCAGGGACTCCAGGACCATGACCTGAGCCGAAGGCAGTCGCTTAACCAACTGAGCCACCCAGGCGCCCCCTTGTCTTCATTTTTTAAAGATACATAGAATTCTAGGTTGACAGGGTATTTTTTTTCCTTTCATTACTTTTAAGATCTTACACTATTCTAGTTTGCATTTCTTTCTGCTGCTTTTCTAATCTTTTTTTTCTTCCTCTGACTGCGTTTACAATTTTCTCTATCTTTAGTTTTAAGCAGTTTGATATTATGATGTGCTTTGGTGTTGTTTTCTCCATTTTTCTTGTGCCAGGTGTTTGTTGAGTTTCTGCTTTTTAGATTGTGGGTTTATAGTTTTCATCAAATTTAGAGACATTTTGGCCACTGCATTTTCAAATATTTGTTTGCCTCTTCCTCTTCTCTTTTTTGGGGGACTTTAGGCTTACTGGTGCTTATTCCTTTTTTTTTCCTTTTTTTTTTTTTTTCATTCTTCCGCTCTGCATTTCATTTTGGATAGTTTCTATTGCTTATCAAGTTCATTCATCTTCTGCATTGTTTGTCATTAATCCTACCCACTTTATTTTTTATCTCAGATACTGCACATCTCTAGAAGTTCTATTTTTATTTGTTGCATTTTATATTTAATATGCTTATTCTCCTCCTTGAATATATGGGATATAGTTAAATAGCAACTATAATAGTCTTCTTTATTCGGTCCCTCATCTCTGTCATTTGTTAGTTTCTATTGATTAATTTCTCTTTCTACTAAGGATGATACTTTCTTGCCTCCTTCCTAGGCCTCATGATTTTTTGTTAGATCCCAAGCACTGTGAGTTCTACCTCATTAAGCACTGGGCTATTTGCATTTCTATAAATAGGAGCTTTGTCACTGAACGCAATTAAATTACCTGGAAGGTACTTAGAAACAGTTTGAGCCTTTCAGCCTTCCTTTTAAGCTTTCTTAGGAGGTTCCAGAGCCCTGTTTCTCCAGGACTGATTTTGCCCCACTCCTCAAGCAGCGCCTTGTGGGTACTCCAGCAGACACTTGCTGGACTGTGAGGTTCACAGTCTGGCTAGTGTAACACAATCGTCCCAGCCCTCTGTGAGCCCCAGTGATTGTTTCCTCTGTTCCTCGTGGGTCACCCTCCCCTCAGACACCTCTCTCTGATGGTTAGTGCTGGAGTTGGGGTGGGGGGGAGGATCTCTGCAGATCTGTGGCTCTCTCATACTCTGCTCCGTGAACTCTAAGCTCCTGGCTCTCCTGGCTCCCTCTGGGTCTCCCTCCTCACACTGCAGCCCGGAAACTTTTCACACACAAGCTGAGCATTTGTTATTCTTAAGGAACTGCCCTGTACTGCCGGTGTCCAGTATCTGAAAGCACACACATGTTTCAGCTGTTGAGCTATTTCAGGTTGAAGAATAAGTCTGATCCTTGTATCTCCATCTCGGTCGTCTTGGTCATAAGCAGAAGTCCCTTTATTTGTCTTGTATTTAAAGTTATCAAATCTAAATGTGAAGAGGAAGGGTAGGAGAGAGAAAGACTGATAAAATTTAATAAAATCCAAAATCCCTTTGCAGAAGACTGGGCAGGGTTTTAATTATCCCAAGCTTTTATTGACCTTCAACTCCTTAAACTTTTAAATGCCTTGGCTTGAATATACACAGTATCACTCATGTATAAAACCCTTATGGCTGCAATTTACCCTAAGAGTACCACATATGTATGGCATAAAGGAGGGTATCAGGTCTATACATTTCAAGTGTATACATCCCAAATATAGTGTAAGGAAAGGAATCCAGATTTTTTTTTTTTTAAACACTTGTCCTGTCACTGAGTAATCATGTATTCTGGCATAAGCCCAGCCCCTGCCACGGTATACTCTTCTGTGAAATTGTTGTCTGAAGATCAAGCTATATAACATGTGTAAAAGACTGTAATAAAATGTTAAACAAATTTAAGGTGTTACTAGTATTTGTTAGTATGGTTCTAAATCCATCTCCACAAATACATCCATGCATGGAGGATATATCTAAAATTTTATGTGGCTATAACGTTCAATCCAATTCTCATGCCTCCCCATTGGGCTAGTAGGATATCCGCTGTGTTATCGTGAGCAGCATGTTCAGGGGAGATCCTCCAGGCTCCAGTTCTCACTCACTAATCTTGAGGTACCTATTGTCCATATGCATGTGGTCTCTTAAAGCCAGGTTTTTGGAAAATATATGCCAAGGCTGGAAACACCAGGGCTTAAGGTATCCTCCTAAAGAAACCACTCAGTTGGGCGCCTGGGTGGCTCAGTTGGTTAAGTGACTGCCTTCAGCTCAGGTCATGATCCCAGAGTCCTGGGATCGAGTCCCACATCAGGCTCCCAGCTCAGCGGGGAGCCTGCTTCTCCCTCTGACCCTCTCCCCTCTCATGCTGTTTCTCTCTCTCAAATAAATAAATAAAATCTTTATTAAAAAAAAAAAAAAAAAGAAACCACTCAGTCATTCCTTTCATGTCCCATCCCAAATCTCTCTGTTGCTTTACCCACAGAAACATTTCTGAAGGCAAGGGAATTGAAATAGCTGTGGTACTTTCTTACATGGGAGAAAAAAAGTGGCAAGAAGAAGAAAATGTACATCAGTATCACAATAAATTATTATATGTTTATGTTAGGGAGACTGGAATTTTGCAAGGGAGGAGAGATAAATCTAGGATACGAGTGAAGGGAGACTTGCACTTTTTACTCTTTTGTTTGAATTTTTATGGTGTGCTTTATTACTTTCATGATCTGTAAGTGAAGCAAAATGTTGATTGCTAGTATTTTTTCTCAGCTGAAATCTGAATAAGAAAGATCATCATCAGTAGTAAGGAGCTTAAATGTATTCTTTATAGGAAGTTGAGTATTTTAATTGATGTATAACA